TGTTTTTTATTGTTAAATTTGATCTCATTTGATTACAACCGTTGAATTATAAGTAAAAGAATAAAAAAATGTTTGAAATATGACAGTTTGATGGGTCCAGATTAATTTAAGCCAGACTTAATTTATGTGGGGAATCTATCCCAAAGATATATTTTCTCCCCAAGGCTTATTTGTGCGACATGGGCTAGTGAAATGAGTTAATGAGAACTGTCAGATTCAATCGAGTGATCTGGATTGCCTGGTCATAGGCTCTAAACGGTGAGATCCGTAGAAGATCTATGTTTGAGTTTTATGGCCTCAAGTGGTGGTTTGTACTTACTTATAAAATGAGGATTAGTTGTGGGCCCCACATCTTTATCAAACTTCAACGATCCAAACCGTCTATTTTTAAAGTTGTACCTAATAGATTATCCTTACAAAATAGTAGCCAAATCGAAAATATTTGAGGCATCTAATTTAGTTCAAAGAAATTGATGAACACTATGTTCTAAGAAAATATTGAAATTTCATCATGACAATTAAATAGGCAAATGATTTTGGATTGAATTGAATTTTTACAAGGATGATCTACAAATCGAGACTTATCAAATAGATGGTTTGAATCGTTGAAATTAGATGTGGAGAGAGTCTCATCACTAATCCCCATTTTAAAAAAAAATGAAAATCGCTTCCTCTAAAGTACCTGTATATATATATTGCAAGAATCTTTCATAAAATAAATAAATAAATAAAAAATTTACTAGCTATAACAATGACCTGCACTTCTGCACTATTGTTTGACATTGCTAATTCGATGCTTTCTCTATCAGCTTTAAGTAAAGGATCTAGATTATCTATTAGTGCTTAATGTGTATATACATCTGAGTGCATAAAATTTTAAAAAGGGTAATGGTAATGCTTAGGAGGTCAAATTTTTAAATCCAATTTGGTAATAATTTGTAAATTTGATTTAAAAACTTAGTCTTCTTAGTTTTTTTTTTTTAAATATTCAATTTTAATAGCATATGGATAAGAAAATGACGAAATGTGAGAATTTATGTTGAAAAGTAATGCGGCGAAAATAATAAAGATAGTAAGACCGTTTAAGCTCTAAAAACAAGAACAATGAAAAAAAGTATCAAATTTTATTTTATAATATGATATCTTGGTACGAGTATAATCTCTTCTGGTGTAAATAGACATGCAACTATTTGGCCAAAAGGCATCTGTGCAAAATCATAGTCGTTTTGCCATTCTCTTCGAAAGGTGCAATATGAATTTAAGTTTGACACGGTAGAAATAATTAGGTTAAAGGATCATGAACCGTCACCTTGAAGAATTTTGAAACTCCAGAAATTTGAAAGAAACTCTCAATTTTTAATTGAATAATATGTTACGATGGTAAAGTACAATCCTAAATGTTGTTTAAGTAGTCTTAACAAACCCTATCTCCGAATAGGAAATATATTAAACAAATAACAAAAAGACCGTAAAATAGTAAACATGAATTAAATTAAACGACCGAATTCGCCTAAATTACGGGTCTCGTCTTTTTTTCTTTTTCGAATCCATATATTACGGGTCCATAATTAATATGTCAAATTTAAGTAATGTTAATCCAAACAACTTGAAAAGTTCAAAACATCTACTTTCAGATATGATAGCATCAAATAATCTTTTAACCCGTGAATTACTAATTCTTCAATTACTTTTCTAAATTAAATGGCACTTCCTTCTTTTAAATTTCTCGCATCTGAAATAACTCAAATTATGTCCTCTATCATCAACACTTGGCCCTAACTTCAAAATCCTCAAAACCTCATTTTTTTTAGGTGATGCTATTTACACACCTATTTTTACTTCCACACACCGCCTGTTAATTTCTGTCATTTAATTCTTTTCAATTCATTCGATCAGCCGAAAATTAAGTGATGTGTGTGGAAGGTATAAAGGAGTATGTGGATAACACTACCATTTTTTTTCTTTACTCATGCATATGTCATTTATAATTGATCTGTTAGTTGTTCCATATAAAGATAGGAAAGTGATATTCATCTATCTATTTTTACCTCTCATACATTCTTATTAATTTTTTATCATTGATCTTCATCCATTCATTTTATTAAAAAATAGACGCATGATTAGCACTATCTTAAAGAAAGTATTATTTTCACAAGCATAAATGTCTCTTGTCTGCAGTTTAATAGCAAATGGGAGAACAACAGTTGGATATTATTTTGGGGCAGCTCAAGTGATAAGTGAATGAATTGATCGATCACTCAAGGTAATGGGATCCAACTAATTGATGTCAAATATCCCCATTTAGATTCGAAAATCCAAAAGTTTAAGCAACAGGAAAGAAAAAGTTGTGGTGACCACTCGAAAAAGAAAGTTAATATTAACGTGACACCAAATTGGATTTGCACTTTTGCTTTCGCTAGCCCTTCCTTCCTCCTTGGCATCTACTACGTACTGCTTCAATCATACGTGCACGGTTGTCTTCATCCTCTCCACATTCAGCTAGCTTGATGTGAATGCCTTCCTTCCCAATCATACATCTTTATCTCATTTCATCTTCTTATCTAATTAATCTTGGATCGTCCTCTCTTAATTATTATAATCTTTTTCTACGATTCATTCAATCACCATTTCCATTGAGTCAAATTCGGTTGTTCCAACTCAGGATATTGGAATCAATTAATAGTTTTTTTTTTAATTTTTTTTATAATTTGATTAGCTCTGGTTAAGCTAGTTACGGTTTAGTTTTTTGTTTTGAAAAATTGACTGAAATGATATTCTTCAAATCTCAATTACTCAAATGATCTATATTTTTAGTATGTCATTAATTATGATTCATTCAACAGTTGATATTTAATTTTCGATCATTTGCCAAGTTTCCTTTTGTTTTTTAATTCAAGCGATAATTTATTTTATTTTAAACTATGATAAGAGAGATTCGAAGTTAAGTTGAGGTATAGACACACTGTCTTAACTAATTTGGCTGCATCCATACATGCACGCTGGGAGTTAGTTGGCCATTTACCATATATGATGTGGATGGTTAATGACTTGTTTAAAATTATAGGTAGGTCAAGGTTTGTCTGCATGTATATGTATGTAAGCACTATAAAGGATTCCATGGGGTCCTCGACCTAATTTGAGCACTTTCAGTTTCATGTAAGCAAGAACAACGCATTTAGGGCATTGGGGAGAATGGGGTCCATCCATGCATCATGCATATAAGTGCTGCATTTTCACCAAATTTTCTGGTAGGATTCGAAGAATTGAGATTCTCTCTGAATTGTTAAAGTAGTTAGATTCAGAAATTTGGGTTGTTCAAGAGAGAGATCTGAATCGTTCAAAGATTTCATTCTATGTGAGGTGGGCTAATATGATGGACTAATCAGGACTACATGATTTAAATTGAGCAATCCAAATTTTTGAGTTCAACTGCTTCGAATACAGAAATCCAGAAAATATCTCAACTCGGATTTGAACTCTAAGGACGTTTTTCTTTGTCACAATTTTTGTGTGAAAGAGTAGCTCACTCAAATATGATTTAATTGTTTGGAGTTTAATTTACTTGCAGGACTCAAATTCTAAATCCTTTCTCTCATCTTCTCTCTGTCTGTTTCCTTGCATTACAGGAAGTTGTATTAGAATCTCAGCGAAGGAAGTATCTTCTTCTTGCGGGATTGCTTAGACAAAAGGCCACTTGCTTTATAGTAATAAAAGGCACATATTCAGGTTCAAGATGCTGCTAATCTTTTAGGGCTGCTAAGCATATTTTTCTCTGGTCTAACCACTCGTCTCTGGTATCTTAAAGCGACTTCACTTTAGATAGTGAAAGATCAGAATTTTGGCTAGGAAAACCAAGACCTATGCAATCGTGCCCTTGAAGAGAAAATTGTGTATGGTAGGTAGATCTTACGCATAACCGATAATATCTTCAGCACCTAACCTGAAATAATCGGGTTGCATTCAAAATTTTCTCCATGCAAATGGTGAGTCGAACTTCATTGTCTTTCAACTGCACACCGTTTGAATTTATTCTTTCAAAGATTATGGATTGAGGTATAAATAAAAGCTAGCCTTCTTTAAACACACTTATCAAACTTATTTATAAAAAGTAGGTGGAGAGATTCTTGGCTATCTCAAGGATATTTATTCTTCTTCTATCTCTCATAATAATGTAACAGTATCTTTTATTCTTATATTTCTCATCACGCAAATTCCTTGGCATCTATACAAATGCGCTATTGGCGACTCAATTCTTTTTCTTTATTTCTCTATAAACAGAAAGGGTTTGGCGGCCAACCTATGATTTATTCGCGATTGGTAATGACATAACCGAGAAAGGGGTATAGGAGATAAGTTACACGCTGGGTAACACAGCGCATATGTTATGGTCACGGAGGCGACGAGGTGAATAAATATGTCTGCATTATATTTTTATCCTAAAGAAATATAGGAGATGTATTTTGTTCGTGTGCTAGGGTTTAGACTCCTCCAAGTAGGTGGTGGTAGGCTACTTGTCTAATTAGTTAGCAAACATGAGTTGCCAAAAACAAAACAATTTATTGTTTAATTAGTTTGTCAATTGACCACCATTTTCCTCTAATAACACCAAAATATAATATCACACGCAAAACACACCCCGTTTACTGTATTATATTTCTGTAAAATCCTGTGGACACTAGAACAACAAAATAAAAAGATTTTGCCCTTTTAGTCCTTAACTTATTCAATTCTTTAAATTACACTTTTCCCCATCAAACACCATGAAACTGCAAAAATGCCACTCTAGATATTTGCCCAAGAGTAAGATTCTCTTCTCTCATCTTTTCATCTCCTTCCATCATCTCTTCTTAAATTTTCTATTTCATTTTTTTCTATATATAAAATGATTAATATAAGATATTGACGTAATTTAATTCTGACCGTTTAAATTAAAAAGAATGAAAGAAGAAGGAAAAAAAAGAAGAAAGGAAATCCGACTCTTATTTGGGTTCCAGACAAACACCAATGATTCACTGACAAGTGAGGAGCTTGCAGTCTCACAGTTGATGGGTTTCACTTGCAGTTTAATTGCTGTGTCAGACTATAAATACGTTCAGAGATGAGTGTCAAGTGCTAAAGAATTTTTCAGTGAGTGCATGCTTGCTTACAGATCACTACTTTTCCCCCTCTCCCAGTATTTTCTTCTCTCTCAGATACGGCCAAGTGGAGACGATGATCTCCTCAGAAAGTTCCACCTCTGCACCTCTCTAGAACAAACAGCTTTTTAGCTGAAAGAGAAAACCAAACTCAAACCTACCATTTGTTTTCACAAATTAGGATCCCTTTTCTCTCTCTCCTCCTCTCTTTCTCTCTCTAAAACCTCCCACCTCCATTTTCTAGTGTGCAGCTCCAATTCCTTGTTCCTAACCACCCTACCATTCTCTATCTTCTTTTTTCTGATTTTTTGGTGTTTGTTTTTTCTTTATTTGTTTGCATTGGTTGGTTTTAAACTACTACTAGTTCCACAAGAAAACAGATAAAAATCCAATCTTTACTATTTTTTTCTGTCAAATTTCTGGATTTTGTCTACTTGGGTGAAGTGGGGAGGGCGTTAATCCACCTGGGGTTTCTTTATTTTCCTGGAAAGAATGGGTTTTGTATAATTTCTAGAGTTGAGTGGCAGTCATGGATCTGGAGGGTGTGATCCGCAGCCATCCAATCAAGGTAATACGTGTGGCAGAGTGTAGCAGTGTGAGTATTTCACTACCCCATTTCAAATTCTCAGCTTTTCTGATAATCGCTTCTTGTGCTTCTGCTTTTGTTTAATTGTTGCAGAAAGATTCATGGATGACGGTGTTAACTCTGGCTTACCAGAGCCTGGGAGTAGTCTATGGAGATTTAAGCACGTCTCCTCTCTATGTCTACAAAAGCACTTTTGCAGAAGACATTCACCACTCAGAAACCAATGAGGAGATTTTTGGGGTTCTCTCGTTTGTGTTCTGGACGCTGACGCTGATTCCATTAGTGAAATATGTGTTTATTGTGCTTAGAGCCGACGACAATGGCGAAGGTGGGACTTTTGCTCTGTATTCTCTGCTTTCCCGGCACGCCCGGGTGAGCTCCTTGCCCAATTGCCAGCTGGCGGATGAGGAGCTGTCGGAGTACACAAAAGATGGGGTTGTTCCGACAGCGAACAGCGCTTTCGGGTCGAGTTTGAAATCGACATTGGAGAAGCATAAGGCGCTGCAAAAGGTGCTGCTTGTTCTGGCTTTGATTGGAACTTGTATGGTTATTGGTGATGGGGTGCTCACACCAGCAATTTCTGGTACTTTTGAGGTTATATACATGATGATATTAGTTTTTGGGTTTTAAAGTTATGGAAATTGGGATTTGAATGATGAGAATTTGCTTCTTGTGGGTGCAGTGTTTTCCGCTGTTTCGGGATTGGAGCTCTCCATGTCGAAAGAGCAGCATCGTTGTAAGTTATTCGTCGTTGGAGCTTTTAATTTGATCCTGCAAATCATTTACATTGTTTTAGGAGAAGATTGAGTTTAAGGGATTTTGGTTATGTGGTTGACGTTCTCTGCAATTTTCCTTATCTGGATAGAATATAACTTTCCAATTCTAATTTAGGAGCAGCTAATAGAAATGTTGGATATTAAAATATGCACAGCGGAAACATAACTTCATGATCGATACAGAATAACTTAGAAAATGATGTTGTTGAGTAGTTAATCCGGATTAGGACCGCTAACACGGCTAAGAGAATTCTAAAAAGTGAAGCTGCTTAGTGATAAGATGCTTTGGCTTATTGGTTCACAGAATTTCTTTGCATCTGTACTGAGTATATCTGCAAAGAGACTTTTAACATGTGCAAATCATGGTTTGGAATCTAAATCTTACTATTTGCATTACTAATCCAAAATCGTGGTTGCTCTAGATTTCAGAAGCTTTCTCTTGGTTTATATTGCGTAGACGCGAAGTTAGTGACAAGCAGGCAATACCAAACTTTAGAAAAATGAAAACATTATCGCGGGGACCCCTACAAAAATCAAGACAAACTAGCCTGCGTTAAGTAAAGTCAGATCACCATCAAGCTAATAAAAAATAATTTGAATGTTTAGTGCAACACCCGGTTAGTTTTGTCTGTTCCTTTTTCAGTCAACATTTGATTAAACTTGTTTGTAGGAAACAAAGTTTAATTTTGATGAGAGTAAAAAGTCTTGTCTTTTATAAAGTTAAAAAGATGTAATGTAGCTATATAAGATGAAGAAGTAAGGTGATTAATTTAGGATGACTTTTCGATTAGATTATAAATTATGAACTGAGTCCTCTGATCAGGCATGCATAACTATGACTTTGTTATCGAGCCTTGACCCACTTGCTGCTGGCTAAAACATTTGATTAACCAGAATGAAGTCACCATCTTATCATTATATTTTCAAGTGCCTCTACTGTTCTAGTTAAATTATCACCTTATACTAGTCACACTGTACATTTGTGTGTTTTTCTAACAATTAGCATTGTTTAACCTCTTGTCGGTGATCCTGCCAACTTTAATTCTCTGGTGCTTGCTAACAGAAAATTGTCAATTGGACTTTGAGTAGCCATTTAATCAAATAGTGTAGCCTTAGCTTGGAATGCTTGAAACAGCAATTCAAAGCTCAAAGCTGATGATGTATCTCCCTTTTAGCGTATTCATGTTAAGATATAATACAACAAGAATTTACTATTCTCGTTCTTTTTCCTGCTTCATATCTTCATGCTGCTTTATGCACATTCCTACTATCTCGATTAGCAACCATATGGTTTACCTACATATTGGTTATCATTTATCAGCTTATTGTATTTCCTTATTGTATCTTGCTTCTGCAGATGTTGAAGTCCCTGTTGCTTGTGTCATCCTCATATTTCTGTTTGCCCTTCAACATTACGGGACTCACCGAGTAGGGTTCTTGTTTGCACCAGTTGTGATCACATGGCTTTTGTGCATCAGTTCCATTGGTGTATACAACATCATTTACTGGAATCCCCATGTTTATCAGGCACTCTCTCCATACTACATGTACAAATTTTTTAAGAAGACTCGAAAAGGAGGTTGGATGTCCTTGGGCGGTATACTGTTGTGCATGACAGGTACAAGAGTATGTTAGTGAATCATCTTTTCATGGATGCTTATTGTTACCTTCTCTGACATTATCTTGTATCTTTGAAGGCTCGGAAGCTATGTTTGCTGATCTTGGACACTTTTCACAGACGTCAATCAAGGTATCCAAACTGAATAACATTGGTCGAATAGAGATTTTCATCTCTACTAAGTAATCTGTCACATTCACCTTGCAGATTGCTTTCACGTTTGTGGTTTACCCGTCCTTGATTCTAGCATACATGGGACAAGCTGCATACCTTTCTAAGCATCATATCATAGAAAGTGATTATCGAATTGGATTCTATGAATCAGTTCCCGGTAGGTGTCTAGCCATACTTGTAGCAGTTATAACTGTAAAATTTGAGATTAAGCTAATTAGGATTCTCTCCTTGTCTCAGAGAAATTAAGATGGCCCGTCTTGGCAATAGCCATACTTGCTGCAGTGGTGGGAAGTCAAGCAATCATAACTGGAACTTTCTCGATAATCAAACAATGTTCTGCTTTGGGTTGCTTTCCAAGGGTCAAGATTGTCCACACATCTTCGAAAATACACGGTCAAATTTACATCCCTGAGATTAACTGGACTTTGATGTTTCTATGCTTGGCTGTTACCATTGGTTTTAGAGACACAAAGCCATGGGAAATGCATCAGGTACCGTCCACTTCAACCTAATAGTTTGGCTCGTGCGTGTGCGTGTTAGCTTTTGTATAATGTATTTATGTCTTACCTTCATATAGGTTTGGCCGTTATAACTGTCATGCTGGTAACTACCTGCCTTATGTCTCTAGTCATAGTCTTGTGCTGGCACAAAAGCCTCTTCTGGGGCAATTTGCTTTATATTATTCTTCGGCTCCCTTGAGGCACTCTACTTCTCAGCATCTCTCATGAAGTTTCGTGAAGGGGCTTGGGTCCCGATTGCTCTTTCATTCATCTTCTTAATGGTTATGTATGTTTGGCACTACGGCACCTTCAAGAAATACGAGTTTGACGTCCAAAATAAAGTCTCCATCAACTGGCTCCTCAGTTTGGGTCCTACTCTAGGGATTGTTCGAGTCCGGGGGATTGGCCTTATACACACTGAGCTCGTCTCTGGGATCCCGGCTATTTTCTCTCACTTTGTTACCAACCTCCCTGCTTTCCATCAGGTTGTAGTTTTCCTCTGCATCAAATCCGTCCCAGTCCCACATGTCAGACCCGAGGAAAGATTCTTAGTGGGAAGAGTTGGTCCAAAGGAATACCGGCTATATAGATGCATAGCACGCTATGGTTACCGTGATGTTCACAAGGATGACATGGAATTCGAAAGAGATCTGATTTGTAGTATTGCAGAGTTCATTCGGTCAGAGAGACCAGAATGCAATCTGAGTCTAGTAAAATTGGAAGATGATGAGAAAATGACAGTTGTTGGGACTTCATCATCAAATTTAGACGGCATAAGAATGTCTGTAGCTGAACCGGATTCCTCCGAAATAGCAAGCACCTCAGAGTTGCAGGAGATAGGGCCTACCGAAAAGGCAAAGAAGAGAGTGAAGTTCGTTGTTCCAGAAACCCCACGAATCGACAGGGAAGCAGTAGGGGAGCTGCAGGAACTGATGGAAGCAAGGGAGGCAGGAATGGCATTTATATTAGGCCACTCTTACGTGAAGGCGAAGAGAGGATCAAGTTTTATGAAGAAAATAGTGATCAATTTCGGGTACGATTTCTTAAGGAGGAATTTTCGAGGGCCGAGTTATGCTTTGAGCATTCCTCATGTATCTACTCTGGAGGTTGGGATGGTCTACCACGTATAATTCTGTGTATACGGTACAACTTTGTAATCAAATGTTTTTCTTTGGGTTTGTTTTATTTTTCTTGATATTGTTGCTGTTGCGGTCATATTTTATGCTGCCCTTTGCACTGTACAAACTTGTAGAGTTCTTAGGCAATAATGCAAAGTGCTTCTGGTGGTACTGACTTCTGAGCATGCTTTTCTCAGCAGTACACATATGCCAACATCAATAAGAGAGTTGGGCCAAGTTTTCGGCTTTTTAGTTGGGTTCAGTTTGTAAAGGTTTTAGCACATTGTTCTAAATCAAATTCATTAATTTTTTTTTGAGCGATATTCTAAAATGGGAAACTACTTTCATCATTAGATACTAGAAAGATCAAATTGCAAATAGGGTAGTGTTATCTACACTTATTTTTACACACACCTTTCAATTTATGGCCATTCATCGGATTTGAAGATCTTGCTAAAAACTGACAAGGATGTGTGAGAGGTAAAAATAAGTGCGTGAATAACAATATCCTTGCAAAAATAAATATGATGATGATGGAATGGGAGTCTTTGCTAAATCAGATGGACCACAATCGTGAATGTTGAAAGCCGTACTCCAAAAGAAACCTCATAAGGACATGAAAGAGGCTTACCTGCACCGAGATGTCAGGAGGATATTTAAAGTCAGTTATATTATGTGTTTTAACTTACTAGCACAATAGTACGTGATCGAGTTTCAATTACCGCTGCAATGACATTTTGTTTCACTTAAGAGACGGAAGAGAGAAAAAATATGATTTTGTTGACCATTGAAAGAAAAACAAAGATTCAAAGAAGGTTAAAAAAACATTCTCACGACTACTTTGGTTTGTTAGCATATGACACATGAGATCTGAGCACATGTGAGATGAGGGAGAAGAAACAAAAAGACAACATTAAACAGAAGCATCAATGAAGAACAAATAATTGAAGTTGGAGAGTTGTAAGTTGTTTTCTTGTACAAGTTTCGTCACTCCAATTTCTGTGGATGCTCCAACACTGCACAATATCAGCTGATGATCCCAAGAACAACCACACCCTTACAACAAAATGACACTATTGCCCCTAGACGCTAGAACGGGGGGTACTCTAATCTAATCACGCAATGCCATGTAAAAAAACTCAAGAATATGATAATGCATTATTAACTAGAGATGCCGTCAAAGGAAATAAGTTTCTCTCTTAAAGAAGTGAGCACCCACTGTAATTAATTAACAACGGATTGGTTAGCACAAATTTAAGACTCAAAAAGGTGAAGACAGAGGATATGATTCCCTCTCTTGCTTTCATTGCACTAGCAGTGAGACCTCTCTCTCTCTCTCACTCTCTCTCTCTCTCTCTCTCTCCCCTTTGCCTTTACCTTTTCCTTTCCTTAACACTGAACTCCATTGTGTTCAATGTTCAGTATCACCAAACCTTCCAAATTCACTATACCCACTTTGTCTCTTTTACCTCCTTTCCTCTCTCCTCTCTCTCTCTCTCTCTCTAGAAAGATTCATTCTTACTGAGTAATTTGTAGAAAAAGTGGCAGAACACTGTCTGTGGGGTCTCCTACTTAAGCGGGGTTACTACAAGCTCAGAGCTTGTGAGTGAGTGAGTATTCTTCTGCTCTTAGAGCTCTGATCAACAAAACCAACATCAATGGTGAGGAATTGGGTTGCATTGCTTCTGATTTTTCTTCTTCTCTCTGGGGATTTCTCATCAGGAGTAGCTGCCTCACCTCCTGCAAGTGAGTGAAGTTTCCATCTTTATCCCCCATTCTGCTTCAAATTTGGCTTTGCCTCAATTGGTAATCTTGTAATTTCACATATATGTATGTGTATGTATATGCAGAAATTGTAACTGGGATTGTCTCCAATGTGGTTTCTGCTCTTGTCAAATGGCTCTGGTCATTGAATCCACCACAAAAACCAGTTCAGGTATTTTTCCCAACTCAGATTTACCAATTTTTCGTATTTTTATGGTTGTTGATGTGGTAATTAGAGAGTGTTTCTCTGGTTGTTAGTTTGGTAATTAGCTAGTGTTCTTTGAAATGGTGAGGTTTATGAGGTTGATGGGGTTCAATTTTTCAGCTGTTCCCAGCCGTTCGATGATGAAATTTGAGGGTGGATACACCGTGGATACGGTGTTTGATGGAAGCAAGCTCGGAATTGAACCACACTCAGTTGAAGTGTCCCCAAGTGGAGAGCTTCTGGTTTTGGACTCCGAAAATAGTAACATCTACAAGATCTCAATGCCACTGTCTCGATGTAAGCCGCTTTCGCTGCCTTATTTCTCGAATTATACCATCATATCACTGCTCTTGTTGCTTGTTTTGTTAACATATATCCAGGGACTCAATTCTAGTTCACCCTAAACTAATCTAAATTGCGGGAGGGAGATTCAAACTCGGGTGCATACTAGGCAATGTGGCTTCGCCCACGTCAGTTCGCCCTAACAGTTAAAACTTTGTATTCGGGTTGATGCGCAAGACATTAGCATTGTTTCTCTGGTTCCTTTCTTTTCTTCTACTCTTGCCAAATTCCATTCATTTATAAAAGTACTGTTGCTGCTTTTATGTGCTTTTGTTTAGTGGAAGACTCTACTTTCTGGATAATCAAGTGCTATCTTTTTGGAGATTTACTTTCTTTTTCTTTTGGTTTGTGACCAGGATTCTCTAATGACCAGTTTAACTTCTTGTTTACTCATCTTAAACTTCTTTTTTTAACCTAAGCCAGATTTAACTACTTTGTGTACTTTAACGTGGGAAACTTGGGTTTGTTATACTTCATGTTATACCTTTAAGCTCCTTCAAAATAAAATCTTTGTCATTTATCGGTTAATGATTCGCGATTTCACTTTTTTCTTTCGTAATTTCAGCTTTATTTGCATTCGAGTATAATCAATCATCAAAACCATCTAAAGAAAGAGACGATAAACTTTGAGATTTACTTTATTTATTATCAATGAAATATGCAAATATAGTCTTCAAACTATCACTTTCGTTATAGAAATAATTTCAGTACAGTTCCTAGTTTAATGCTTGCTTGCTATCTGTTTTATTTATTTTGGTAGAACCTATCATTCTTTCATATGCTGAATGAATGATGGTTTGCAGATAGCCGACCCAAGCTGATTTCTGGATCACCTGAGGGGTACTCTGGGCATGTGGACGGGAGGCCAAGAGAAGCAAGAATGAACCACCCGAAAGGGCTAACTGTGGATGATAGAGGAAATATTTATATCGCAGACACAATGAATATGGCTATCAGGAAGATAAGTGATGCCGGTAAGTCTTTGGATGTTTAAGGCATCATAGAGGTTAAGGAATCACCACTTTCTTCTGTAATTGTTGTGTCAAATGTAGTGGCACAAAACACTTATTTCACCTTTGTATAGGGGTTACGACTATTGCTGGTGGACAATGGAGCAGAGGAGGTGGTCATGTTGATGGTCCAAGTGAAGACGCAAAGTTTTCTACTGATTTTGATGTGGTATACGTAGGCAGCAGCTGCTCTCTTTTGGTTATAGACAGAGGAAACCAGGCGATTCGGGAGATCCAACTCCATTATGATGACTGTAATGACCGCTACGATGGAACTTTCGGTTTAGGTATATAACTAAAACAGTTTGGACTTTCAACACTGTAATTTGCTTTTAGGTGATGCTGATCTTTAAAATCTGTTCTCCATCATTGCAGGAATAGCAATGCTGATTGCAGCTGCATTCTTCGGTTACATGTTGGCATTGCTGCAGCGTAGGGTGCAATCAATGTTTTCGTCAAATGATGCAAGTTATTTACATGACCAAAGAACTCCTATACATAGGGCTGCAACAGTAGCACCATATCAGATGACTCCGAAATCCGCCAGGCCGCCTTTAATTCCCAATGAAGATGAACCCGAGAAACTAGATGACAGCTTCTTTGGTTCACTAGGAAAGATTGTTCTCAACACTGGCTCGTCTGTGGCTGAAATCTTTGGGGGAGTATTTACGGGCTTTAGAAGTAAGCCCCGACAATATCACATACAGCAGCAGTATCATCAAGCTAATGAACATTCAAATGCTTGGCCCTTGCAAGACAGCTATGTTATTCCAGACGAAGACGAGCCTCCATCAATAGAAACCAGATCCCCAACCCCGAATAAAACCTATCCTTACATGACCAAAGACCTAGAGAAGTCTCACCATTCGAAGCAAAGTCAAGCCTACTATAATTCATGGGAGGGTGAACATCAGCAACAACAACAACAACAGCAACAACTTCAGATGCAGCTGCAGCAGCAGCAACGACACCATATGCAGATGCAGCAGCATCAGCAACAGCAGCAGCAGCAGCAACGACACCATATGCAGATGCAAATGCAGATGCAGCAGCATCAGCAACAGCAGCAGCATCACAGGCATTACTCAACAAACCCAAATACATACTACGAGAAGAGCAGCGAGACAAATGAGATTGTGTTTGGGGCGGTTCAAGAACATGATGGACGCCGTGAAGCAGTGGTGATAAAGTCAGTAGACTATGGAGATTCTAGGTATAACCACCACAACATTCGACAGCGTTTCAATTATGTGGGTTATAATTCCTCTGGTTACTGATTATCCCATCAAAAAACACAAGAGTATCATCCTTTATGTTGTATTTCTTATTTTCTGAAGGAAATGTTTGCTTTCCCAGAGTTGTCTTCAAGGAAATGTGCAAGTTTTATAGCTCAGATTAGGTGTGTATTTCTCTCTGTCGAGATCCAAAGAATCAAAGTGGTTTTGATTTGCAGACCTAAGCCGCAGTGGCTAGATCGGATGTGGTTTTCAGCCATGGATCACGAAATCTTGTTGGACAAAAAGGCCCATAAAATATAATTCTTAGCTATACCATATGGGCCATCTCGTATTAAGATTTCTTAACAAAGCTCTCTTTTTAAAATGAAAAATAATAAATTTGTGTCCCAACATTTTTTTTTTTTTTTTGAACAATTGATATTATCTACATTTTAAAGGAAGGAGGATGGGCTTAGTCTCACAATAGACGATCAATAATGTGGTTCAAATTCGTCTTTAGAGAGAATCGAACTTAAAATCTATCACTTACCTACCACTAGACCGTACTTATCAAAACAAAAATAAAATTTAAATATGGAGCATCTATTCGATAACCATTTAATTTTTTTGTCAAGCTAGGTTCAGTTAACGAGATTGAAAAGAAAAAGAAAACTAATGAAAATAACTTGAAAATTTTGAGTTTTAACGATAAGGACAAAATAAAGGGTAAAGTGAATAGTACCAGAAGCTTTTCGTTAAAGTTTCCAAAAAAATAAGGCAAATATCGCCTTTTTTTCTTTCCATTTTCCGTTGGGTTGGATATTTATCATTCCCAAATTCCAGCCCACTGGACTTGAAAATTAGTTCATAGGTATTAAATTTACTATTTCAAGACAATTTACATTTTTCATTGAAGATGCTCGTAGTATGTAAATTCAAAGACATGTAACTCTCTATTAGAACGATGAATAAATTAAAGAATGTAACTTTTTTACACAAGTATAGTTGACTCCTTGTTCCTCCTAGATCATGAGCACCTGAACTAGGAATTTCAAACAATTTCTTATTTTCTTATCACTACCACAATATCGTATAACACTATCAGCTAGCTCTGCTGCATTTGAACCCTAAAGACTAGAGTAGCTAGCTAGGACTAGGAGCTAGCACACCTTCATTTGTTTTGCATGGAATATTAATGGCCTTCGCCGGGGCTTGGACCAGAATTCTTGATTCCCCAGAGGGAAAGAACATCGGCAAAGTAATTACCAACGCCGCCTCCGCTCTGACCGGCGGCCTTCCTTGGATTGTGGTGCACCGGGTGGCTGTGACTGTGATGATGAATCTGGTGATGAACGGGAGAACCATGCACGTCAAGAGGGCGGGCTTCGACTGCGGCAGAGAGCAAAATGAAGCTCACCACAAGTAGGGCAACAATGAAACGGTGGCGGCTAATGATTTCTCTGGCCATGATTTCTGGAGAATATTTGAGTCACTAGTTCTAATGAGTCGAATGATTTTGTTTTGAAGTTATAAAAATTTGTGAAGTAGGGTTTGGTATTTATAAGAGAAATATGGTAAGCTTGTTTTGTTTGACTAAAAAATGGAGGAAAATATTAGTTTGAATTTTAGTGCCCATTCAAACGCGTATGAGAACTGGTTTCATGTGAGGAAACATGGATGAAACTGAAAACCAACGGAGAAAGATTCAAAACCCACGGAGAAAGATTCAAACTTTTGAAGAGGAAATTAAATGGAAAAATAGGACTGACTTTCTCTATGGGTATAGTATAATTTGAATATTTGTACCCGGTAACCTAGTCAGTCAGTCGTCCAAGTTTTTCTCGGTTTGACCAATATATTCTATTAGCCATCATGCCCCTATATCAATCACTTTTTTGCACAAATTTTGACCCAGTTTCTATAGAGCTCGCTTCAATTTTAATGGTCCAAAACGTCTATCATTTAGAATATCAAATCATCCTGCAAAAAAATTAGAAATATCTAAAATTATTAAAATATTCATTTATAGTGAAAAAAAATAAACGAATACAATTCTACAAAAAAAACGTAAACCCTTAATCCAATGGTCAATATGATTTTAGATTTTGGTGATTTTTTGTTGACATGATATTTGAGAAAAAACCTAAAAGATAGACGATTCGGATCGTTAAAATACATCACAAAGTGGATTTCATAAAAACGTGTGTCCAAAATTGTGTAAAAAAAGTAGTAGCATGCAAATCCGTCTCCATATATATGTGCCTGAAATGTCATACATGCATTAAGTATTTTGACTTGTCACAGATACAACTCTGGCTAGTTAACTTCAAGTATTAGTTCTAGTTAATAAAGGAGCTAGTTAAGTGCTACAATATGTTGTTTGATTAATACTAGGGTTTCTTTGATGTATATATGTGACTTGCTGCTCATTCAAACATGTTTTACATAATTGTTCTCATTCAAACATGTTTTATATAATTGTTTATATTATATACAAATAAACAAATAAATAGTTAAAATTGTTTATCATATAATTTTACATTCAAAATTTTCTACATTTTGAAAGAAAAATACTCTTATGAAAAGTGCACAATTAGATTTTTGGAGTATCAATAATACTTTATATATATATAGGGACTAATCCGTGACACTATTTTTTTACAAAACTTTTGACATGTTTTTATGGAACCCATTTCATAATGTATTTCAACAATTCAAACTATCTATCTTTTAGGTTTTCTTTCAAAGATTATATGTACAAAAAATCACTAAAATTTAAAACCATGTAATTGTTGAATTAAGGTCTAAAGTTTCTTGGTAGAATCGAGCCATATGAGGCGGCAACGTTTGATCGCTTTCCCATTAGATTAGACTAACCTCATAGACTTTTATGTAAACGACTCAACAGCTTTGGATATTTCACTTTGAGTGTATATAATTTAATAATTATATGCCCTAGCAGTAGGTCAAGTTTGAGTCGACTTGTTCCAGTCATAATTTAAAATTTGCAACTTCCTACACACGCACAAGATTTTAAAGAATATATCGATGATTTACAAGTACTTGACCAACCATGAAATCATGCATAAATAAAATAATTTGAAAATTATTTATCTATATATGTGTTTGGATCCAAATTTACATCATCAGCCCGTGTAATCAAGGTCGTTGAATAAGCATAGTTCTCAACCGTCAAATGAAAAAATGAAGATATTTTTGTTAAAGAATAATATTATGATTTTATCATAATAATCTTTTAATATGAATTATCTTGACATATTCTTAAATGAGATAAATATGATGCAAATTATATCCCCAAACAAGCGGTGCAATTCAAATTGATGTGGATATTTGGCATGTGGACGTGTGGTTTGGATCAGTTTTGGTTGACAGATATGCACGACATCAGATAAAAAAGCATCCAGGATGGGATATTATCCATTTAAAATAAGGAAAACTAATGAAAAGGGCTTGAAAACTTTGAGTTTTAATGATAAGGACAAAATAAAGGGTAAAGTGAATAGTACCAGGATTGACTTTTTAGTGTAAAAATGTGGTTTTTCGTTAAAGTGAACAGTACCGGAAGCTTTTCGTTAAAGTTCCCTTTAAAATATGGTAATAATAAAAAATGAATTTGAAGTTCAGGATGCATGCGGCAGTTTTGGTAAAAGATGATGAGAGCCTAGGAAAGCTAGGTTTTTGTGATGATGTGGTGATGTGATAAGCCTAGGATTTGACACGCCCCGCAACATCAACACATTTGACTCCTCAGCCGACGAGTTGGCACGCCCCTCATACAACCGAATGACGTAGTTAGCTCATTAGTTACTCGGCATGTGCGCCACGTAGGCTTTGTAGTTTTTAGGGCCAACAATATGTTAATACATTAATTCAAAATTTGATTTTTTTTTTCTGTCTGAAATAAAGAAGATTAATATAGAAAGCGACGTTGATCCTACAAGTCAACAATTTGCTTAACGTTCAAGACAGAAAAAAAAAAACAAAAAAAAAAGGAAGAAGAAGAGGTGCTTACTTGATGTTCAAGGAAAAAACACATACTAAATCTGCTTAATTCATGTCAATTAGGTTGCTTCAGTCAAACATGGCTAGCCTACTTCCCTTGACAAAAATGAAAAAAAGATGAAGGAAATAAAAAAAAAACGAGGACATTTCATTTTTCAGGTTAACACCTAGAAATCAGAAAAGAAAGAAGTTTCATGTTGTAATCGGGTGTGACTTCAATGCTACATATATAATTGGTAACGCTCAAATTTACAGGTTAACAAACTAGAACAATAAGCCCTTGGTGGATGGGATCAAAGCTATGAAATAAATAGATCCAAGATTTAATTGGTTTACCTCTCAAAATTGGACTAGATTTACAGTGTTGCTCGTAATATATTAGTTTGAAAGTTACAAGTAGCGCTCGGCTAAAGAGTAGTATTCTCTTTCTTCTCAATTGTTTGATCCCTTTACAAGAAGTTCCCACCCCTTTCTATAGGCCTCAGTGAACCCAGAAAGCCTTGTGCTGACATACTTTCTCTTTTCTGGAATTTTATGTGCCAGCTACTTGTAGACTGGTGTGCTGACAACCTTTTCGCCCATAAGCCGTTATTCGACGGTGAAGCAACAATCAATCTGTTAGAATTGCGCATTCTTCTAGGTCGATACTTGCTGAGCGACCTGCTCGACCTTGACTAGTCAATGATATCTCTTCCGAGTAGTCGCCCGACTACCTTTACATCATGTCCTAGACTTCTTGATTGGTGACTGATACACGACCTGATTGGCATCTGAGTAGACCTACTCCTAAAGCTTGTGCCATAAAGTTGCAGTTTTCCCACATGTCCTTGAAGGTCGAAAAGTACTTATGTTTATGTTGCTTACTCAAACTAGACTAAAATGAAGGTCAAAAAGTACTTATGTTTAAGTTGCAGTCTTCCCACGTGGCCTTGACTAGTCAATGATATCTCTTTCGAGTAGTCGCCCAACTACCTTTATATCATGTCCTAGACTCTGCTTTTGATTGGTGACCGACACGCGGCCTGATTGGTATATGAGTAAGCCTACCCCCTAAAGCCTTGTGTCATAAAGTTGCAGTCTTCCCACGTGTCCTTGAAGGTACAAAAGTACTTATGTTTATGTTGCTTACTCAAACCAAACTAATGAGCGGTCGGTTGCAGTGCTCGGAAATGCCCCTCTCCAATTCCACTAAGCCTTGAATTTTATCGGACCTTTCTCGGTCTTTTTCTCTCAGCTTGTAGTATTTTGGGAGTCGAAAATGGCCCTGCGTTAATAACAATTAGTCGTTAGATTTGATTTCCACAACTATTGAGATCTTTTATCTTCATTCATAGTCATTATGATCGTTATTATTCAATATTATGTCGTACTGAAGAAATTTCCATTATAATCAAATACTAAAAATTTGATACCTATATGGCGTTCGTCTAAAAAAATAAATAGCTGTCCTCTAAATTAATAGCAACGGTGCAATAAGTCTTGACCAGATCTAACAATGTTGCTGATTCATTTTCTTAAGTTAAAACAAGCCAATCTGTTTAATTAAACAACTGTTAAATATATAAACTCCCCATAATTAACCTGGAATTAATAATACGAAATTAAAAATATGATTAATCAGAAACGGTCAGTTCCCGCCAGTGACAGATAGAACTAATTAAGTACTAAATTACGAACATACCCTCATCGCATATGCCTGACTGGCTCCCGCGCCGCTGCGGGACCGACCCTCTTTGGTAAACTCACCAAATTCGACCGTTAAAACATTATCATATCAATTCCCTTCAATTCTGAGCTGGTTCTCCTATTAACACCTGGCAACCGGAATTTCCCGGCAAAATACGTTTGACCTCCAGCGAGAATGCCGTTACAAATCGACCTATATTTGTTTCCCTCCAAATCCTCGCTCCCGGATCAGAAAATCCAGAGAGCAATCGATCGAGAGAGGGCTTTAGGGTTTGCACAAAGAGAAAGATCTATGGATTTAGGGATTTTACCCAAATCGAAATTCCTCAAATCTTTCTCTTTCTCTGCCCAATTTTCCCTCTGAATTCGGAGCCTTAATTTTCTCCAAATTTTGCGTTTTAAAATGTCGTCGAAAACCGAGTACGACGCCGTTCCAAATCCGAAAACCTACTCCGCTGCGGAATCCGATGACGGGGAGGAGTTGGTGCTCTCGAGGAGAAGCGGGTGCTGTTTCTGGATCCCTTGCTTCGGACCCGAACCCTCCTCTCCCGACGGGTCGTGGGAGCGGATCCGGTCCGCCGGCGAATACGAGGATCCGTGGCTGTACCGCGGCTGGAAGAAGATCCGGGAGTGGTCCGAACTTCTCGCCGGTCCCAAGTGGAAGACCTTCATCCGGCGGTTCAACAAAAACAATCCCAGGCGGTCCGGGAAATTTCAATACGACCCCACGAGTTACTCCCTCAACTTCGACGAAGGCCCGGGGCAGAACGGTAATTTGATTGATGATTATTTGTACAGGGATTTCTCGTGCCGGTACGCGTCGATTCCGGTGTCGGCGAAGTCGTCGATGGATTTGAGCGGCGACTCGCCCCCCTTCACGTGAGAGTCACGTGATGAGGGGATGTAGAGAGAGTGTGAAGGAAAACAGAGGGAATTGATGGGGGTGTTCTGGCGCCGCGCGCAGGGTTTTGCCTTTTGCGGGAGAGTTGACGGCGGAGGAAATATGGCCTTAGCCTCCATATTTCTTTTAAAACTCTTGTATGCTTGGTACAGTGTCATGCTATTTCATGTTTTGTGGTACAATTTCATCCTTTGTGGCCCTCTATTTTGGATCCTGGTATATCGTATCTATTGTGTATTAGATTCTTTTACATAGACATCGCGCAATTGAATTTAGACGTCGCGCGCTATCTTAACATTTCAGTTGCATGTAAGTTATTCTTTTGTTAATGACTAGTTTGTTGCCTTTAGACCTCGTTTGGTCTCTAGGATCGAATTGAAATCGATAACTGGTATAATTTAAGTATATTGAAAGTAAAGGCTAGAATATATAATGTTCCTGATAAGTTATCTTCTACCTTTAAGTTGGACATAATTGTTTTATTTTTTCCTTCAACTTACCTCAAATATGTTCGATTATCCATTCTAATCTAATCTCAGCAACCAAACGAGAGTTTTAGATTTTTACTAGTGATGGAAATCCTTATACTCAAGATCATTTGCTTTGTGCTTGTGCGGTGTTTGACAAGGAAGACACGCACAAAGCTATAAGCCGTGGCCCATGGGCAAGTTGCTATAAGTTCCTCGTACATGCAAAAATCCAATCCGACTTAATTATGAAGGCCCTACGCACTCATCTGCATATCATGTTTACGTAGAAGATAATGGCGAATCCACGATTTTAAGATCAGAGGGTCCCAACATAAAAGTTCAAAAACAAAAATATTAGACTAATTTGGTTCTATATCATTATTTTCTATTGAATTTTGTTCATTGAATAAATCAAGATTAATCTCAAAGGTAATAAAACCAACAAATTCTCCTCAACAACATAACGCAATTAGTGACTCTACAAAGATAACATTTGTTAATTGGGAGTTGGGACTAGAGTCTAGGATTGAAAAAAAAACTTATATGAATTTGGAAGAAATAAAATTAGGCAACTAAAGGCGGTAGAACGGCAAATGGTGGTGGGGAATAGGGTAACTTGGGTTTTAAGTTGGAAGGTTGCAACAATTGGGGATGGGAGTTCTTAAATATAATTTGGGGATATTGGAAAAGACCGAAGTTCTCGGGCTCTGTAGAGAAAACTGAGATATCTTAGTTTTTATATTTTTTATAATGACCTAGCTAAAAAACGTTGTTGTTTTGGCTAGGCCTTTTAAAACAAAAATTAAAAACCTCTTATTCTTCTTTGTTATAAGCACTGCTGCCTGCACATCCATGGAGGCAACAAGCCTCTCCACTGCACCTACCCAAATTGTTGGAGGGTCCTGAAGGTCGATCACAAGTGTTTCTTCGAGCTTCCAAAGGGTCCTGGGACCCCCCCGAGTCTCTATATGGATCCACCAGTGGTAGCAGACACGATGAAAACTGCCTTCATATCTTTCTTTCTTTCCCCTATTGATCAATGCATTTGATCTCTTCTTTCTGCAAGTAGGGGCGGATTCACCTTGGGCAAGTTGGGTCAACCGACCTCTCCTCCCCCCATTCTTAGAAATACTGTACGGAAAAATTGGGAGCTGCCCTTTGAAAGCATGAGATGCTCAAGTTGTCATCCAACTGCTCAATGAATTGCCTTTATAGACACTGGGCAGGGTAGTTGCTAATGTCATACCTTTGTATGCGTTGTTATGTGCATATTTCAATAAGCTCACTCAACATATGTTAGCATCTGTCGGCATGCTCGCCTAAAAGCTATTGACATCAGCTGACATGCTCGCTCAGAAGTTGTTGGCATATGTTGACAGGCGTGCAATATGACTTGGCAAATGATCTCAGGCATATCAGGACTCGATGAAATGGAAATTTGCATGCTATTTGCGCGAGCTATTCTTATCAACTCCCTCAATAATATTTCCTAGATCCGTCATTGTTCGCAAGTCATCCTTATCTCCACATTACCACTTTTTTTTTAATCTTTCGTCGATTATTATCTTTTGTAAATATTCATTTGAAGTCTTGTGATCAATATTATATATATTAGATGAAGATATGTTTGCGGTCTATGATAGCCAAACTATTGCATCTTTATCTCTTATGATCCTTCATTCAAAGTCACGTGATGAGTGTTATAGGATGACGAGAATATGTTCTCGGTGATATCCAAGTTTCTGGAACCAGTTATAGCGAATTTTTGCATCCATGTCCCCTTATTTTAGTTGCCACAGACCAACAGTCCACAAGCTTTTACCATCCAGATCCCATTCCCTCTATCTACTGGGTTGGGCCTCGTAGACCTACGTATCATGCGATTTAGGACCCGTTTGGAAAGAATGAATTCTTCTCATAATGTTCATAACATGATTTACGCAAGCTACTCTTTTTCTTCTATTCATCTTTTTTTATTCAAGAGGAAATTCAAATGTGAGAAACTAACATACATATCCATTGCGCCGAAATCATTTTCTTGATGTTTTTTTTCTTTCTAAAAGTGCTTTTATAATCCAAAAGTAAAAGTAACTTCAAATTTTTTGCCAAACAATTTCATAAACTTTTGGTTATCCACATGATATTTCTCAATCAGATGACTGAGATATTGACAAATCCCCTTAGCTTGACATTTTTACAAACATGTACTCAATAGGGCACCGAAAGGCTATTGGTTATCAAGATTGCAAATTTGACCATTTAGAAAGGGGTTCTTAATTAGAATAAATTGTAGCAATGGTCCCTTAACTTTAACTTAATTGGAGTAATGGTTCCTCAACTAAAAATTCATTACTATTTGTTGATGCACAAAACCGGATGGTCTTGGTACAACGTAAATCCGACCGTGAATCTGCATGAAATGTAAATGACACAAGATGTATCGTGGTTCACCCCAAGGTTTGGGCTACGTCCACACTGATTGTATTGTATTTCTCTGTTGAAGAGGGAGAGAGAGAGCTTAGAGCTTAGGGGGTGTGAGGAAGCTTTGAGAGGGGGTGAGAGGTTTCAGAAATGGCCTCTGATGGTGAGAATGAGCCTCTCTAGAATGAGGGTAGGAGTCCCCTTTTATAGAATAAGGGGCTCCTCCTCCTTTACAAAGTATGGGCTTTAGTGTGAGGCCCAAATACAAGGCCCAAGGCCCAAATATACGAGGCCCTAAATATGGTATAAACAGTAGTCCCCCAAGTCTTCAGTCAAGAGAGTCTTTTGGCTGGAGACTTGAAATTCAGTCCATGTGTGGGCCGAAGTAACTGATGCTCGATATGAGGCGGTGCCCAATCTGAAATGATGCTCAACTAGAAGTAGCACATGTTGTGAGGCCGCTTTGCTTGTAGCTTATGTTGCCTTGGTTGGCTTGGCTTGTGGCGTTTGAAGGTGAGGGAGTCCATTTTATAGAATAAGGGTTCACTCCTCAGTACATGAATAATGGGTGCTCTCTAATGAAAGTGAGGGATTCCCTTTTATAGAATAAGGGCTCACTCCTCAATACATAAGTGATGGGCTAGAGTCCCCCAAGTATTTTTCATGAGTGCTCTCTAAAAGTGAAGGAGTCCCTTTTATAGAATAAGGGCTCGCTCCTCAATACATAAGTGATGGGCTAGAGTCTCCCAAGTATTTTTTATGAGGCCCAGTTGAGGCCCAATATATGGTACATAATGTAGTCCCCCAAGTCTTCGGTCAATAGAGTCTGTTGGCTGGAGACTTCAAATTGAATCCATGTATGGGCCGAAGTGGTGGTTGTTCGGAGGCGGTATTTGTATACCCTGCACTGAAGCTTTGTAGGTGAAGCTTTGTAGGTGAAGCTTTGTAGGTGAAGCTTTGCAAGTGAAGCTTTGTAGGTGAAGCTTTGCAAGTGAAGCTTTGAAGCTAGAGCTCTGTAAATGAAGCTTTTAAAGCTAGAACTTTTGTAAATGAAGCTTTTGAAGCTAGAGTTCTGTAAATGAAGTCTTTGAAAGCTAGAGCTTTTGTAAATGAAGATTTTGAAGCTAGAGCTCTGTAAATGAAGTCTTTGAAGCTAGAGCTCTTGTAAATGAAGCTTTTGAAGCTAGAGCTCTGTAAATGAAGTCTTTGAAAGCTAGAGCTTTTGTAAATGAAGCTTTTGAAGCTAGAGCTCTGTAAATGAAGTCTTTGAAGCTGATTTGACATGAGTGATGCTCATGCATGTTTATGTTGATTGACATGAGTGATGCTCATGGATGTTGACATGAGTGATGCTTATGGATGGTTATGTTGATTGACATGAGTGATGCTCATGGATGTTGACATGAGTGATGCTCATGAATGTTGACATGAGTGATGCTCATGAATGTTTATGTATGATTGGATGAGTGATGCTCATGTATGACTTGAAGTACTGGGTGTACTTTTGATGGCCTGATTGAAGTTTTTTTTTTTTTTTTTTTTGGGCTTATGGGCCTTCGCCCTCCACAACATGACAGCCCATTTATTGTGGGCTTTGCCGTTTTTTTTTTTTTTTTTTTTTTTTACTGTTATTACCCTCTGATGGGGTTTATACATATTACCCTCTGATGGGGTTTAATACATCATTCTAGTGGGATATTTATTCCTTGCTTTTGCAGTGTGGGTGTTTGTTCCTTACTTTTACAAGTTTGCGTGCCTGCTATCCATAGCTTTTCTGTGGGTGGTCGACAAAATGAAGAAAGCACCAACTTGCTTCAGCTTTCAACTAAAGAAAGCATAATTCTTTCTTTTCTCTTTTCCTTTTTGCTTTCCTTTTGCTTTGGTTTCTGTTTCCCACTATGCCTCTCTCTGTCTTTCCACCTCCCTGCAGACTTGCTTTTCCTTTTCCTTTCCACTGCGTTTAATTTTTTGCTTTTTCTTTCCACTACGTCTGGACACTAGTTGGTGTACTCCAGCTGTAAAATATGTGAGATCTGGAGATAGCTGTCTGGAGAAATGCAATAGCTGAGAGATCTCCATCTGAATGCGGGGCCTCTGTAGACAGAAGGGCCAAGACCAGCTGATGGTTGAAGAATATGGGCCTGCAGCAAGGTGACCTGTCTCTCTCAAAACCCATCAGCAATCGAATGGGCGTGCAGCAACATCGCATATATCTCGTCCATAAACCCCGAAGCAGCCGACACGGCAAAAGCATAGGTACATTTGTCGAGTTTAAGATTAGTATTCTTTCGCAAATGGGTGTAGAGAGAAATCGCAGAGGAAGGCGCGTCATTGACGGCGGAGCCTCGGATGACGACATTGAAGAGGAAAAGGTCAGGTCTTTGGATGGAGAGGAAAAGGTCAT